CTAGAAGGGACCTTAGGACACAGAATGTCAAAGCTAGAAGGGACCTTAGAACACAGAATGTGAGAGCTAGAAGGAACCTTAGAACACAGAATGTTAGAGCTGGGAAGAACCTCAGGACAAAGAATGTTAGAGCTGGGAGGGACTTTAGAATACAGTGTTAAGAGCTGGAATGTACTTGAGAGGATGTATGGTCCAACCTCCTCCCTCCTTCCAAATGCAGGTATTCTTCCCATAGCATCCCTGATAAACTGCCACTCAGTCTCTGTTTGAACAGTTCCAATTATGAGGAGCTCATAATGTATCTTGCTCCACTGTTGGACAGCTCAATTGTTAGAAAGACCTTCCTCATATTGAGGGAGAAATTGCCTCTCTGTAACTTGCATGCCTGGGTTCTAGTTTTTTCCTCTGGAGCTACTGAGGAAGGGAGTTATGTTGATGCATCTTTCAGGAATCTGACAACAGGGTTAACCATTTGAAAAAGAATTCAAAGCTGAAGTAGGTTTCCAGACTAGTTAAGTGCTCAAAGGAAAGATTAAGCAGAAGACTTAAGGCAATGTCCCTGCGGGGGAATGAGTCTAGTTTTTCCTACCAAAAAGTTTCTGGAAAACAAAGAGGTGACAGTTGATGTGCTGTTTCTCAGAACATCTCCCATCAGATTTCGTTCAGGTAACAAAACATGCCCTGTCAGACATGCAGTGTGAAAGTTCGCTGCAAATTTAATACAATGCTCAGTGAAGGTGGGTTGCTTCTGGCAAGTTCCTGAACTGCCAGGATGAAGAAGTGTTCATTGTTAAAGTCACTAGATATACCTCTCCTAAGAGAATTAAGTAAATAACCAGATAGAACAGCTCATTCAGCCCCAGCTGATGGAAGAGATTAAAATGTACTAATGTCACAAATAAGTCCTTCATGTTTTAGGTGCCCCTAAGAGTATCTGCTAATCAAGAGAGTTATGCACAAATATGGTTATTTCCTGTTCTTGCATGTCCCACCACAGAATATTAGTATGACACCTGGAGCACAGTACCTTTACTCCATCCAAAACAGCTTTGATGACTTCTCTCACAGTTGTGACCATCTCTTTATCTTCTGAGTTCACACCTTCCAGCATCACTTGATCTGACCATCGAATGAGATTGGCTAGACTCTGGTATACTCGGCTGTAGCAAGAGGAGATGGCTGAGCTAGAGGGGAGAGAAGGATGCCAGGACTGGTAAAGTAAGCAAGAACATGGTCTGATGCTTTAAGAAATCCTACCATTGAATGAGTTGTTGGAAAACGGAATTCCAACACTGGTGGATTTTCCCTGCAGCGTCAATGGTATTGAGGTAAAATTTCAATATTTACACAGTGTTTCCCTATCTTCTTCCATAAAAAGGTATTATTTACTCAACAGCCATAGTCTATACCACCATACCACCTTTGTGAATTGTGACCCAAAGCCTCATGATCTTTTTATGGCAGGTTCTTCGGAAAGAGTGATCATGACCTCTTACTACATTTGTAATTTATTAGAATTTCTTCCTTAGTAAGCTGTGAATAAAACGTTCAGCTTCTCAGCTCTTCTATTCTATTGTGACTTGGTGTCTCACAGGCCCAGCTTTTGCAGATCTGTGATTTTTGCTGGGGGTGGGGTCATGGGGTGTGGATCAAGGTCCAAAGCTGTGAGGTCATTTGCTTTCCACTATAAGTTTAAGAAAACAGAAACTTTGGTTATTTTGAGGTTGCTTTAATGGCTATGCAGCAGTAGCCAAGAAAAAGATATTTTCATAATGTTGCCATGTACTTTAGAATCACTTTTCAGATAACTTTCATTTATGCTTCCTTGGAAGGCTGAAAACCATTTTCTCTTCATTTAGTGCATTAAGTATTCGGTGCATTAAGTATTACCAATGGCTGGGTCGGGGTAGTTTAATGAACACCCTTTCCTTCCTCTGTGAGTGAAGGTTGACTGGGGAGGCAGAGAAGAGAACAGGACTGAGGTAACCATTTAGGAATAAAATACCCTATTTGGGGGAAGAAAATACAATGTTTCAAAGCAGAATGAAAATGGAAGTGTTTAGCAAAAGCACTTACATGACAAAGCCTTGGAAATCAGATAAGGAAAAAAACGTCGTTCAAATCCAAGTCTGAAAGGAAAGTTACATTTTTTTCCCCTTAACCCATCATTCAGTTCTGTCCATGCATGTTCAAACAAGAGATGAGTGAGACTAAAATGCAAGCTACTTTCAAGTCCCATTAGAAACAGAAAAATGTCTACAAAACAAGATGAACTCCTCACTAATTAGCTTTAAGAAACCACAGTACAAAGGATCAGCTGTGAGTCTGGGGCTAGTTACCTTGGAAAAGGGAATGAAATGAGGATATCTTAATTTTTACAGTGGCCTAAGCAGAAAGAGTCTTAGAGTCAGAGGCAGTAGACTTGAGGTCAAATCCTGGATTTGCCACTTATGAGCTGTGGGACTTTGTAAAAGTCATTTCTCCTCTCTGGGCATCAGTTTTCCCATCTGCAAAATGGAGGGCATGACTGACAGGATTTCTAAGGTCCTTTCAATTCTAGATCCTATAATCCTTCTTTGAAAACTCCATTAGCTTGAATGTTCCCATAATGAGGAGACATTGTTTAAAAAGGAATTCCTCTAAAGTAATTATGGTAGGCTGATTAATCTTCCATGGAAGTAAAAATCAAAAAGTCCACTTTATAGAACTCATTTCTATCTCTTTGTGATAGCAGTGTTTACCTAGAAGCACAAAAGGAATTCCACAATCATATTGTTTTCTTGCACACACTGTCCGTCTGTACCCTCCCCCCCCACCTTCTATGTACTAGCTTGTAAGTAAAATAATATTCCTCTTAGGTTTGCTGTCAGGAAAGGAAGGAGATGGGCAGGTATTATGAAAACGCTGCCTGGTGGGTCAGTCAACTCCCTGTTTCTGAAATGGAGGAAAGCAGTCTTGCACATGCCTGCAGCAATGCTGTTCTAACATGTCTTCCAAGACATCTGTTGATAAGTTAGTGAAAGAGAATCATCTGTCATCATTTATAGAGCATACAATCTATAAATGTAATTATCTTTGGATCTCTCCTAGTGCCTAGTACAGTGCTCGGCAAATAGTGGGAACTTAGGAACAGTAGAGAACTAACAAATCTCTAAGGGGCCTTAGAGACCATTTAGTCTGACCCACTTCATTTTATAGATGAGAAATCATGTCCAGGGTCACCTCGTTAGAAAGTGGAAGAACTAGGTTTCGATTCCAGGTCCTCCAACTTCACACCAAGTGATCTTTCCACGATACCATGCTGCCTCTTAAATGAATGAACAAAACAGCACATGTGAAGACTAGTTGCCAAATGAACTTAGGGACAAGGGTTGAGCAAGGTTCCAGGATAAGCACTGATTTTCTGCTATATAAAAATCCCAACTGTCTCTTCTAAGATTAATTCCAATGAGCTTTCAGTCAACATGGACCAGTTCAATGTGTAAATGGGCCAACTAGCAGAAATCCTAGGAAGGAAGCCTAGGGGGCAGATGGTTCCTTGGGAAATGGTAAGATACTCTTCTGCTTTATCTCCCCGAAGAAGGAAAATCTTCCCCTCACTGTCAGCTTCTGAAAGCAGCTCATAAAGCCTTCAGTCTCAGGAGGATACACAAGTACAAAGCCATCTCAAGGAATCAAAATGGGGATGCATTTATCCTCAACAGGTAATCTAGCAGGAAAACATGAAACCAGCAGGCAATCTGATAGCCACTCAAGACCTGTCTCAATCAGGTTTGCTTTCATTGAGGGTTTTATTCTATTAAAAATAAAACAAAAATCCTTTTCATGTATTATTGAACAAGAGTGGGTTGTTCTGAACAAATCTACTGCTTGACTCCTTAAGAGAGACATGCACTCTCTAGCATCTAAAATATCAACTCCATATAATTTTCTTAAGCATTCCCTCTCTAATTCACCCTTCACATCATGCCCAGAATAGTCTTTCTTAAACATCCCTCACCTCCAAGGTTTCTTACTGAATACTGAATCAAGTTCTAACTCTTCTGTATGGCATTCAAGGACTGTCCTGATCTGATACCATCTTCTTTCTCCAGCCCTAGCCCCCGGGAGGAGAGAGTGAGGCTAGTGACTCTGCACAGCCCTCCCTCACTTAAATCCAATTCACTTTCAGTCATGACATTATCTTCTTTCAAGGACGAAGGACAAATAACAACCTGTGAGTAGTCCAAGCTGCCCAATGGGGACCCAACTGGCCACTTCCAGTTGGGCAACTAATCTCTGTCCTCTCCTCTCCTCCCCTCCCAGACTGATTTTTTTTTTAAGGGGCCATACCTTGGCCTATTTCTTAACCAGCCTTAATCATTGAATGGGTTTGCCTCAGTCCAAGTGAGAACTCAGATTAAAAAGTGGCCCTTCAGATATCTGAAGATAGTTATCATAAACCTCCTCCCCCAAAAAGGCCCAAAACATTCTTGAGTCTAAGCATGACCAGTTTCTCAGACTGAGTGATGTATTTAAAGTTCAAAGGGCTAATTGTGAATGCCAGCTCACTGGCTGTATCATGTATCACATGCCCTCCATTTTGCAGATGGGATATCACTGTATCCTGGGTCATCACAGGATATCACTGTATCCTGGGTCATCTCCAGTCATCCTGATCTGTATTTCGCCATTGGACCCAGATGGCTCTGGAGGAGAAAGTGAGGCTGCTGACCTTGCACAGCCCATCCTCACTTAAATCCAATTCACTTGCATGACATGGCATCACCTTCCCGATGTCATGGTCCTCTTCGAGAACGAACATCATCAGCCTAATCCCGTACTATTCATTCACCTCTAATATTGTACCCTCTGCGCCAGTCAAACTGGACTCAGTCCCAATACACATATAGTTCTTGGCTGCCTCTGGCCCTTTGTCCAAGTTGTTTCCTATGCCTGAAATGTCTTCCCCTTCTCTTCTTTGCCTGCTGAATCCTCACCTATTCTTTAAGCCCTATTTCCTCCAGGAAACTGGTCCTGATCCCCTGGCTGGTAACTATTTCCTCCCTTAGGCCTCATTTAGCATTTTGCTTCCATTTTTTAAAATGAATTATTATAGACTACAGTTACCTGTATTTGTGTTTCAAAAATTAGTAAACTGAATTTATGAAACACTTTGAAGTTTACAAAGCATCTTACTTACAATAACTTTGTGAAGTTGGTGTTACTGATGGTATCTCCATTTTACATAGAAGAAAAGAGACTCAGAGAGTGAAGAGGGGGTTGCAGTGAACTGTCTTACTGTAAGCTTTATGAAGGCAGGGACCACCTCTTATTTAAACACTGTATTTCTCCCGGTATCTAGTACAATGGTCTACATACAATAGGTGTTTGATAAGTAGTTCTGGAAAGAATGGGGTTGTTAGGATCAAAGGGCAGCAATTCCTATAAATTCCTAACAAAGCAGATACAGCTGGGAAGACCAGCCCTTCTCTCACAGGCTTCCAGATTTGTACATATTAGCAGATGTGAACTCAAGTTTGCAATAATGGAAAATCTTTGGGACAGTCAACGGAGTAGGAGAGAGGGTTAAGGACGCTCCTGTTTTATATATCGTATGTGAATCATGAGCTTGGATTAAATATCTTAATAAAACCAGGCTGAAGATCTAGATATGTCTAGATCAGTTCAATTACCGCAAACAGCTTAACAATTCAATTCAAAAGATATTTAGTGGGTGCCTACTATGTGTGAGGTGAGGGGAAGATAAATATGAAAAAGATGCAATTCTGATTCTCAAAGCATTTATCAGGGGAGCACACGGAATGAGACAAGATTTTGATTAGATGCTTGGTGTGAGAAAGGGACAAAGAAAGTGCCTTGTGGTTTCAGAACAGGAGGAGGGGATCCATCCCGCCTGACTGGGGGAAATGTGGGGAAGCTTCATGGAAGAGGAGACTTGAAAACTTGCCAGAGGTGAGCTGGTTAAAACAACCATAAAGAGACCTCAGAGGTCATCAAATACAACCACTTCTCTCTGAAGATGAGGAAACCGGCCAGAGGTCACAGAGGTACTAAGTGGCGGAGCTGGCATTCACAATTAGCCCTTTGAACTTTAAATACATCACTCAGTCTGAGAAACTGGTCATGCTTAGACTCAAGAATGTTTTGGGCCTTTTTGGGGGAGGAGGTTTATGATAACTATCTTCAGATATCTGAAGGGCCATCGTGTGGGTGAGGGATTAATCTTGTTCTCCTTAGCCCCAGGACACAGAAGAACTAGAACCACTGGGGAGAAGTTATAAGAGAGACAGACTTTGGCTCTGCATCAGGAAAAAGTGTCCTAATAATTGGAGCAGTTCAAAAATGGAACAGGCTATCTCAAAAGGTAAATAAATCCTCCATCATGGAAGATCTTCAAGCCAAGGCTGACTGCTCACTTCTTAGACACTTCAAGGGGGACTTAATCTTCAGGTGGGCACTGGGCTAGATGCTTGCTGAAGTCCCTTCCTTTTCCAGGACTCTATGATTCTAGGACGTGGCATTTGATCAGGGTCAAATTTTAAAAGGGAAAAGGGGGCAGGGGGTGCATTTCAAGTGGGGCATAGAAGCAGTAGAGGATAGCATAATGTGGTGAGAAGGCAGCAGAACACAGTGAACAGCAACCTGGATTTGGGGTCAGAAGGCCTGAGTTCTAATTGCAGCTTTGTTCTTTAGCAAAACAAAAAAGACGCTGCCCCTCTCTAGGTCTCAGGTTCTTTGTCTGTATAATGAAAGGATTGGACTAAATCAGAAGTTTTTATCTAGATCCATGAAAGTGGTTTTTTAAATATATATATATATATGTATATATGTGTATGTATATACACACACACATATACATACACACATATATAAAATTGTATTTCAATATAATTGGTTTCTTTTTTTAATCCTATGTATTTTATTTTACACATTTAAAAACATTATTCTTAAGAAGGGAATCAATGACATAAAAACAGTTACGAACCCCTGGATAAGTTGATGGGAGATCCTCTGAGTTCTAAGTCTTGTGATCCTAGGCAAGCACTCATTTGAGCAAATCACAGAACAGGTGCAGGGGAGGTGAAGGACACAGAAGATGACATCAGCTGGTCCTGTACTGTGGCACCACCTGATTACTGACATTTTGAACTCTCTGGAACTGTTCTTATCCAGTTCTGACTCTCTGCAAAAACCCAAAGCAACTCACCTCTGCTGAATTCGAGGGTCGGTCTGCACTAGCGGCAGGATGGCCTCCAGGACTTTGCTGGCCGAGCCTGGAAGCATTTCCAATACCTTCTTGTCAATGGCCATTTTGTCCACAATGGTCTTAAAGTAGCGCAAGGCACTGACAACCTCTTTCTCTTTCTCTTCCAGCCAGCTGAGATTCTGAAACAGTGAGTTGAGGACGAGGAGGGGAAAAGAGAGAGATTAAAGGGAGCTATTTTTATTTCACTGAAATTAGTCTGAGGCTGATGGGAAAAGGAAAAGCTCTCAGCCACAGAAAATCCCATCCAAAGGATGGCAGTGGGGAGACACACACACACATGTATGTATGTATATGTATGTATATGTGTAACACATATTTATACATACAAGTATACACACACACACACTTGTGGTATTTGCCTTCCTCCAGGGAACCAGAGGGTGCCTGGACATAGGATGCTTAGATACATCTTCCTGAAATTCCCTTTTTGGCTTCTTAAACAGACTTACTAGCCTGTGGCCTTGAAAAGTCATATATTGCCTCCTTCTTAGATTCCCCATCAACCCCATACACAGAGTGCCACTAATCAAGGGCATTGTGACAACTAATTTGCTAATGGCAATAAGATATTTAGAAAACCAGCAGGAGGGTCCCTTGAGGCACATATAGATCTAGGCTGCAGATTATATAAGGAAACTTCCTTTCATGGTTCTCTAAGATTGATGGGTCTACCTAGGATAGGGAGGGTTAAAAACAAAATACTCCATCACAACTTTCCACTGGATACAAAACTACTTCCAAATGGCTTGGGTACATGTCAATTTAAAAATAAATTAATCCTAAAGGACTTGGGAACCACCAAGAGATGAGTGGTCTCTGGGTGAGAAGGTGGTGGTGCTCTGGTAAAGAGAAGATGGCAATGTCATTCACCCAGGAAAAGCATAAACAGTGGCTGTCAGGATCCAGGTTTCCTTGACTCATAGTAAAAGCCCTCTTACATCAAAGGAGAAGAAAATAATCCCTTTTTGATGATTCACATTAACAGAAGGCACCAAGTACCCCCAAGTCACTTCTCTTTGGGATGCAATAAGTCACACGTAGTTAGGCAGAGAAATGCAGACCCTCACGTAGTCAGCCCTTCTATGCTTGTCTCCATTCCCCCTCCCAGTGTGGATCATCTGATCCTAGATCTAAAGCAGGAAGGGACCAGGAAGGTCATCTAGCCCAATTCTTTAATTTTACTGCTGAAATACTGAGGCCCAGTACAAGGTGACTTGCCTAAGGTCACACAAAGTAGTAGAAAGCACAGTCAGGATTTGAACCCGGGTCCCTTTGTCTCCAAATCCAGTAATATTCCCACTATCTCATGCTGTTTCCAGTCTATCTCTTTTCTCAATGGCCTGAGGTCGAGATAGAGGGTAGAGAAAAGGGAATGGTAGATAATGATAAATATTCACAAAATGGATAACCTATCCAAGTAATAGAGATTACAATTACAATTTAAACAAGGAAATGTGAAGGAAATGACATCCTGGTCTTCTGTGGGATTAAGGCTCTAAAATCACCATTCTGTCTTTTGGGCAACTTCATTATGTAGACTCAACTAGTGAGAATGCTCAAAAGAATGGACACCCACCCATAAACACAGAAAGCAACATTAGATTTAAGCTGAAATCTCTGCCAGTCAAACCTTATTAACCACCCCAGTTGCAGCTTCTTTGAATAATTAAAAGGAAAGCAATGAAAAGTCTGTGCATACTACGCTAGCTTCTCATTCCCAAAAGGGGAGAGACAAGGAGGGTTGAAAGAAGAATAAATATTAAATCCAAACCATTTTAAGTCAGCAACTTTTATTAAGCACTTACTATATGCCGGGCAACATACTAAGAGCTGGGAGTGCAAAGAAAGGCAAAAAATGGTCTCTTCCCCCAAAGAACTAGTTCCCAGTCTAATGGGAGAGACAACATGCAAAAGACCAAGTACAAACAAGACACTTAAGGGATAAATTGGCCATAATCTCATAGGGAAGGCAATGGCATTCAGCATGACCAGATAAGGCTTCTTTGAGGTGGGATCTGAAGGAAGCCAGGGAAGCCAGGAGGGGGAGATGAGGAGGAAGAGAAGCTCGGATAAGGGTGGACAGTCAGTGAAAATGCCCATCAGGAGAAGCAGGGTTTTGTTTAAGGAGCACTAGCAAGGAGGCCGATGCCACCACACTGCAGAGGACTGGGAAAGGAGTAAAGTCTAAGAAGACTGGAAAGGACCAGTAAGTAGGCAAGGTTTTAAAAGCTAAACAAACGATTGTCTATTTGATCCTGGAGGGGATAGGAAGCCCCTGGAGTTAACTGCACAGGTACTGTTGCTGTGGTCAGCTCAAATCTGCACTTTAATTAGAGCCCTTTAGTAGCTGAGTGAAGGATGAACTGCAGGGAGGAGAAACTTCAGAGACCAATCAGAAGCCTATTGCAACAGTCCAGGTGTGAGTTGATGAGGGTTTGGACCACAATAGTGGTGGTATCAGAGGAGAGGAAAGGACATATCCAAGAGATATTATGAAGGTAAAATGATACGGCTTGGCAACAGATTTTATATGGTGACTGAGAGTGAAGGACTAAGGACAACACCCAGGTTGTAATAGGTGACTGGGATTCTCAATAATGATAAGGAAGTTAGAAGAGAGAAGAGGTTGGAGGGAAAGATAATGAGCTAAATTTTGGACATAATGAGTTTAAGCTGTCTATGTCTAGCTCAAGATTCCAAAAGATAGTTGGAGATTCAAGACCAGAGATCAGGAGAGAGAAGTTAGGGATGGATAAACAGATCTATGAATCATTTGCATAGAGATAATTGAATCCATGGAAGCTAACGAGATTATCAAGCAAAACAGTACAGAAGGAAAAGAGAAGAGGGACAATCATTCAATGCACATGAGAAAAAGGGGGGAGGGTATTCCCATTGGTGCACAAATAAAAAATTACTGACAATTTTCAAAGACTGTAAAGTAAGGCAGTGGCAATAGCTGAGCTTTAAGGTCTCCTTCCAGTCCTGACATTCTACGAGCCTACAAAATATAGAGCTCTGGGAATATGTGTACAATGTGGGAGTTAATGGTGATAGCTGAAAAAAAAAAAAAAAGATGATGCAATGTAGAAAACTCCGCGAGAAGCTTTGCTATTGGGATGGAAACCTTTCCAAAGACAACGTGAGATTGAGAGTAGAGGGGAGGATTTCATGACATGTTCCCTTAAAACTCTGCTGTTCTACGATTCTCTGTCAAATTTGTCCATTTAGGGAGGCAGCTAGAATCTCCTAATACAGGAGTTGACAAATTTAGGCTTCATACATTAACTCTCCTACAAATTCTTCTTCTAGAATGAATGTCCTCTGGGCATTATGCTTTGCTTCAGTCCCTTCAGCTACTAAATCGTGGCTTTCTTGGAAAATTCGGTCAGCAGTCCAAGCAGTTTAGGCTGAGATATTTATTTACAAGAAGCCTGAGCAAGAAATAGGAACTCAATCCCTCCACTTCACTTAGATTGAGACACAAACTCTCAGGACCGAAGGTAAGTCAATCCAACTCTCTTACTGACATGTGCTGCTCGTGGCACTAGGTTCAAGGTACTGCCGCTGACTCAAATAATCACACAACGCTAGTGAATTCTAAATACAGGAATAAGGGTCTAAGTCAGAAGTCAGCCACACTTGTAGCCTTCCCAGGCTCAACCCACTAAGAAAAGCCCACAGGGATGGAAGGCAGGTCTAAAGCACAGGTGGGGAGAAGGGAAGACTGGACAAAATATGAAGAGTGAAAAGGAGAAGGAAAAAGATGAAAGATTCAATTATTTAATACTATGCCTTTAGAACCATAATTTTAGGCCTAGGAGAAACCTCAGGGAAAATCTAGTCATTTGACAAACGGGGCTAAGAAAAATGAAGAGATCTGACTAAGGTCACACTGTGAATCCCAGGTCTCCTGACTCCCACCCTACTGCTCTTTCTACATGATTCAGTAACTACTGCTCAGTTACTTTATCATATTCTATGCACGACAGTTTTAGTTGAGAAGCTGGTGACAGGAGAGCTCTCACTGTGGTCCTCAAATAGGTCGCTGCTATAATCAGTCAACAAATATTCATTGAAGGTCCACAGGGTATGAGTAGCATTATGAGAATCAGGTAATTGTCCACTTCTGTGTTTGATTAATCATTTGTATTTTTGCTGCCATTCCCCTAATTGGGTGCCATTAGTAATCCCAATAATTGTATCAATTACAAACATTCAATGTACTTATGGTATAATTTGGCCTATGTAAATTTGGGTTTTCCATGGGGGAAGGCCAATCTGTAAAAAGTTAGATTATTAGGATAATTCTAAAGAAGTATAGTTATGTTATTCTCAAGAAAATATAAAAACCAGGGCTAAGTAACAATGAGATATAATTTTTTTGAGATATAATTTTTTTAATATGAAGTGTAAAAAGGCTAAAATGAAATCTATGAAAACAGACTCAATTTCGGATACCTTTGAAATAATTTAAGATTTTGTTTTCTTACTGTATTACTCCTTTAATAGATAAGGCAAAGGTGAACGTCAGCCCATCTACACTGTCATAAATTCCAAAATCAGAATCAGACAATGTTGGAACTAGAAGGGACCCTATAAAAGACAGAATCACAGAATGTTGGAGGGGTAAGGATATTAGGTAACAAATTATCCAAAAGCCTCATTTGACAGATGGGGGAATATAAACTCCTGTGGCTCCCTATTACCTCTGGGATCAAATATAAAATTCTGTTTGGCTTTTAAAGTCCTTCACAACTTCTCTTCCTATCTTTCCAGTCTTCTGACACCTAACTCCCTTCCTCATACTCAGCAATCCAGTGACACCAGCCTCCTTGCTGTTCCTTGCACAAGATTTCCCAACTGGCTGCCTACGATGGCTGGAATAGTCTTTCTCCTCATCTCTTGTATTCTGGCTTTCTTCAAGATTTAGCTAAAGTTTTACCTTATGCAAAAAACTTTTCCAGTCCTCCTTAATCTTAGTGCTTTCCCTCGGAGAATATCCCTAATTTACCCTGTCAATATCTTGTTTATGCATAGTTGTTTGCATATTAGACTGTGAGCTCCTTGTGAGTTGGGGCTGTGTTTTTTAGTTTGTGTTTTTTGGGCTTTCTTTGTATTTGTAGCTCTTAGTACAGTACTTGACATATAATGGGCACTTAATAAATGCTTACTGACTGACTGAGGCCTAGAGGGCAGGGGACAGGAAGTGACTTGGCCAAGGTCACAGCAGAGCTGGGACATCTCCTAATATCCTGTCTTGTGCTCTTTCCATTATGTTACATTGTTCTTAAGAGCCATTTAGTCTATTACTAGCTCTTGTTATCTCTATTTATCTATTTAAATGAAGCTACTTGGCATCTCTCATTATTGCCCAGTACCCAGTGCGCAGCATCCCCAGTCCTACTCAAATCACCATTAACTCCTGTTTGTTTTTAGGAGAATGTAAGTTTCTTGAGGGTGTGGCCCATTTTTTCTTTAAATATAGGATATTTACATATTTTAAAATAGGAAGACTTTATTCCCAATGCCTAGCACAGCACAGCCTGGAACATGCCTGGACTGCATTGGAAGGCTTAATCTCCCTGGGTCTTACTTTCCTTTGGGGTTCTGTTTAATTTATTTCATTTTTTCCTCTATTTCATCTTACTGTTTCTTTTTTTAAATGCTTAAAAGTTTATAAATCTTTATGGGATACTTCATATTCTCTATAGGAAAAGTGTTATGGAAACCCCATAGGTAAATATCAAAGTGCACAAATTAATAAAAATACAACTGTCTTGAACCTCAGAAATAATAAAGAAATCCTAAAAATCTTTTTGGCATAGTCTGGGTTCCTACACCTTGGCAGACTCCCCAACATTTCCTAGGCTGTCCTTATGTTTCCATTGTATGTGTGGATTTAGAAAAATGCCCTGTTATATTCACTTTGTCCAGCATAATCACTCAAGTGACTTATCATCTGATTACAGTGATTTACCCTTTGAAGAGGCATAAGCAAAAAGGAATTAAACTGGGCCAAAGAACATTATTTGAAACCTCAGGCTAACTTTCTATCTTCCTCTCTCATGAGTCATTTTGCACCTTGAGAAGACTCTGTCTTTTCTTTTTGCCTTCTCCCATGCTCAGACCATCTGCCGGTGTTTTTTTTTTGGATTCCCCACCAAGTAAATGACACTTTAACATCTATTTTCCCCTTTTCCTCATCTAGGCTACACTGGGGAGGGGGGAAGAAGAGAGAGGAGCAACAATAAAGCATCTGAAACAGCTTTACACCTAAGGTTCTCTGTGCCAAAAAAAGAGCTTCTGTACATTCAGATGTATGTGAAAATCCTCTCTGGCAGGCAGTGAATTGGCAGATGATGATAAAGAGAACAGTAAAGATAGAAGAATATCCAGTGTGCCCATGCCCCTTTAAGCAGAGATTGCTCCTTTAAAAAGCCAAAGGGTTCATGTGTCCTACTAGTAAACCCAATAATATTTCAACAGGCTCCAGGCAAAGCTTGAACATGGCTGTTAGTAAATCATTTGAAGCTGGGCTGTCTAGGTTGATGCAATATGACATCCTGCACTCTCTTCAGAGTTTAATATTAAACTCTCCTCTAGGAGACTGCTAGATAACCTTTAATAAAAAATAATTGTGGCACAGACCAAATCTTCCATTTTACTACTTAACCATGGTCTTGTGATATGGATTTTAGGTCAACTCTTGCAAAATCTAAATATTTCACTTTCAATCCCAGGATTCCCCTTGCTATGGGGAAAGTTCATCCAAAAATTTACTCTACTATAATAAGACAATAAAACCTCCTCCACCTCCTCCCCCACACCCCACAGTTAACTAGTATTTTCTTAAGGTACTCTGCAAATTAATCTCAAAAGGAAAAACAGTCACACTACAAAACTCTAGGTCAAGGCAAAAGCATAAAACACCAAAATTAATGGGCCAGCTGCATCATCACTGATGGTTAGGACATCCTCTGCTATAACTCCACCTCTGATAGTCACTTGAGTTTGTTTCTTTTTAAGGTTTGACTTTTGTCCTAAATCATTAAGCTTTTTAAAAAAATATTGTTGTAATATCAGGTCAATATGAAGATATTAATTATGCTAATTAACTGTTACCACAAATGTGATCTCCAGTTTTCATGAAGTTGGTTCCTCTGGATGGATCACCACAGATAAAAAAATTATCACCAACTGGTCAAACTTTTGGGGATAAGCCACTCCATACTGGACTAGACTGGTCTTTGAAGAGCAGATAAAGTCTATTACTAGAATGTGGATGGATGGCCTTTCCAGTTTGGAAGGTGTTACTAGAATTTAACTTTGCTGGCATAGCCTTTGTGAACCCACTGTCTGTCCCCTTCACATCTTAATCCAGACTCATTTTCTGCTTGTGAAGTTCAAGGCCTCGAGATTCATGCCCTTTCCTGAGTATAACCCATATCTTCCCTCCTCCCCTCTCCCCAGAATGTCCTACTCCCTTCTAAGTTATTCAGATAATTCTGGTAATTGGAAAAAACAGCTGATGAGAGATGAAACACACCCACTTACCAGGAACAGACTCTGAGGAGTACCTCACCCAACCCAACAACTCAAAGGATTCCTGGATGTGGCACATGGAAGCATGGAGTACTATCCAAGGACCATTGGGCTGCCAGCTCTCTGTTTTATCTGAAGATGGCATCTGAGGCCCCTTTTAATTATTTCCTTAATGCTCTTTGAACCCACAGCTACCACCCAACCTTAAGAGAACAGAGAACCCAGTACATAAAGATGAAATAGGTTGTCTTAATCCCCCCCAAACATGGAATCAGGGTTCACTGCAGTAGAAGGCAACCCCAATTGTTCTTAATGTCACACTGACCTTCTGCCTCTGAGACCTGGGAACCACAGCACTGGTGGACATAAATTGTACTGCTTGGTGATCCAGATCCAAGGGAGGAGGGTAGCCCTCTGGTAGAAAATTGTCTGTGGCCTCCTGGAAGAGAGGAAACCTGGATTCCTACAGGGCTTGAAATGGCCATTTTAGGCTGGAGGGAGGGGTTGACAACATCAGCAGCTGTTTCAATACATCTGCTGGATTCTCCCTGTTGAGGTTACCAGAGATTGAGGACATCTTTGGCTAAGGTTCAAAGACTTTGCATTTTTAAAAGCACACACCCTAACACCAAGAGATGATCTGGAAATCATAAACTCCATGGTGGTGCATATGCACACCAGGGAATGTGGGAAACTTTGGGGTGGGGAGGTGGTGGCATTGTGAGGGGTGTGAACATGAGGCATATTCCACATAGAGTTGCTTAAATGCCCAAAGGATTATAGAACTAGAAAAGGCAAATGGCTTTGGGCCAACTGAGTTTTCTTTTGATAAAAATTAAAACACTGACCATCTGGATGGTTCATACTATAGCAACTCAGAAGGCCTCTCCTAAAATAACCAAAATACTATGGAATAGGTGCAAGGTGCTGGAAGGAACATTTCCCGGGAATGCAATTTAAAAACAGCAGAAGCCCCTATCAATCCCAGCAGGTAAAGGCCAGCAAGACCAACCCAAGAGAAGATGCAGAGAAGCCCCATTCATCTACTTACTTTGTTCACAGGTTTCTCAAGGGTTTTCACAGGCACATCGGCTGGTTTTCCTTTCTTTGATGGTGTTCTCCTGATTTTGGGCGAGTGAAATTTGTCCATCAGCTTCATGGTGAAGGAGGAGAGATGAGAGCGCTGAGAATCTGAAAACAACCCCAGGTAGAAGAACTCTGAGTGAGGAGGGCAATGGCTCCAGTTTAGCGTGCTGCTTGCGGCAATGAGCAATCTACCCAACGTAAAACAGCCTCTCTAGCTTTTCTGACAGGTCCAATTTCTTGGACAGGGAAAGGAAAAAAAAACCAAAACAATATAACAAATTTGTTTTGGGACATCTTAGTCCCAGCAATCTCCTTGTAGGCTGGTTTCTTTGGGCTGTAGAGTTAAGAGAGAAGGAAGGCAAAGGAATTTGAGAAAAAGTTTTTAATATATCATTAGATAAGATCCTTATCACTTTATACACTTCTGATGAACATATCAAGAAGGAAGAATAAGCTTGAGTAGGCTCATAGAATGTTGGAGTTGGAAGGGGTCCTTAGAGGTTATCTGGTCCAACTTCCTTATTTTTTATAAATAAGGAAATTGAGACCTAGAGAGGGGATGCATATCCTCCAAGTCACACAGGTGGGTGGCAGAGCTCCAATAAAAACCCATCCCTAGGCCTCTTGGTTCCCAGTGCAGTACTTGGTCCTCCCATTTCAGAAAGAAAAGAAGTTTCCTATTCAGGACATCACAGAAGACAAGATAACAGCTGAAATTGAGTGAAAACCTGGGTTAGGTAAAGAGAGGCAATTCTAAAAGATAGCAAGAAGGATTTTTGTAACATTTTAGATAGGAAGAATAATCTCTTTATTTTTCCTGCAACTTATAAAAAAATCTAAACAAAACTTAAATAGCCAACGTGCACAGTATATGCTGGCCACAGACCCAAAGTTCAAGTCCATGTCATTAACAGTTATCCCTTAATCAGAAAGAAGGATGACTTTAGATAAGCTCTCAGGCCTTGGGAGATATCTAGGAATGAGCTGCACTTTGGCCCAAAGGCAAGAAGGCAAGACTAATCATCCCTTTGATAAGATGTAAAGTATAAATACGCTGCAACAGCAACAAACCTCATAATAACCCAGCTATACACTACATGGCTAGAGCAACTCAGTCTTAGTCACACAGCTCTAGGAGAAAGGTTGGTTTCCTTTTGTCACAACTCCACTATAAGGCACCCCTCACTAGAAAAGACCTCTGAAAGGAATGGTCGGGGGGGGGGAGCGGGGTAGGGGGGCAAAACACACCTTGGGGACCCTATCTTATGAATCATAAAAGCATAGCATTTAGGGCTAAAAGGGACCTTAGTGATCACTTAATCCAAACCCTCATGTTAGAAATGAGAAAACTTATGTGCAGAAAAATGATTATCCAGAAAAGCAGCAAAACTGAGATTAGGTTTACAATGAACATAGTGGGGTGTGACCACATATGTGGGAGGGAGAAAGGGAAATCTCATGGTTTTGCTTTGATGTTAGTGAGGTTTATAGGCAGGTCCCTTTTAGCACCAAACTTGGGAAGGAAATTCTACCTTCTCTTCTATTGGCTGCCTACCTAAATTGGAGTCCAGCCTCAACTGGGATGGGGGGTCTAAAGCTGGGCCAGTCAATTTTTAGGATTCTGCTTGTTACTTAGGAGTGAGACAGGATCAAGGTCATGTCAACATGAAAGAAAATATACAACTGTTGAATTAGACTGAAATATAATCCTAGTAGCCTTCTCTCTGCCAGAACATAAGGATACCTGTCTTAGAGTCATCATATGAAAGCAATACTATATCTATCATAAATCTCCTCTACCATAGAATTTAATACTTTTTAGCAAGCTTCATCAATAGACACAAACAATCAAGCGGTAAAAGGTTTGGGTTTTTTTTTTTGTTTATTTTAAAATGGAAATTAAGGTCAGCATTAGCTGGTACAGAATTAGGTTTTGATAGTGTCAGTTTGCAAGCTGTCAGTCAATAAACGTTTATTAAAGGTCTACTATGTGCCAGGCACTGTGCTCCAAGTGCTGGGGATACAAAGAAAGGAAAAAGACAATCCCTGCCCTCAAGAGCTCACAATCTAATGGGAGAGCTATTATGCAAATAACTTAATAAACAATTAACTAGAATTAAAAGGGATCAGGACAGTGAAAGGCTTCTGGTAGAAGGCAGAATTTTAGCCAGAACTTGAATGAGGCCAGGAAGACTAGGAGGGAGAGATGAGGAAGGAGGGCATTTCACAGTCACTGGAAATGCCTGGAGTAGGGAGATGGAGTAAGAGCCAGGAGGCCAGCGTTGCTGGATCAAAGAATGAAAAGGGAGGAGGGGCTATGTAAGACATAAGAGGGGTGGGGAAAGGGATGAGGTGGGGGAGGCAGGCTAGGAAAGGCTTTGAATACCAAATAGAGAATTTTATATTTGATCTTTTGGGTGATGAGGAGTCACTGCCTGGAGTATTTGTTAACAGGTTCCTGCTGACTCTTACACCACTCCAGCTATTTGTCATAAAATTTAAATCTATGAAGGAAGATCTTGACCATGGTCGTAGTTGCACAGGGCAGGAACACCTGTGCAACTGCAACCCAGAATCACAGTTCAGGCCACATTGCCATCCCTTCAAATCACCTGCCCCCCTCTCCCAGGCCTTCACCCATTCATCGCGTTATTCAGTCTGGAGACAACATCACCAACACACATTCTGTAGAAGCACATCAGAGCTAAAAGAAATCTTAGAACACACAATGTCAAAGCTATCTTACAGATCAATTCAATTCACCCCCTATTTTATAGATGAGGAACTGAGACACAGAGTCACATAGAGACTTAGTGGCTGGGCCAAGACCAGAAGCTGGGCTACAAACCTGCTTCTCCTCAGCACTTTCCACTACTTATTGATAGCAAGTTCTTACTGAAATTATATTGACCAGGAAAGTCTTATCAAGTGCTGGGCTTTAGGATACTACTGCTTTCAAATTCCATTCCCTACCCATTCAATCCCTATTAGACTGTAACCTCCCTGAGGCCAGGAATGGTGTGTTATTTTCCATCTCTGTATCTCCAATACTTAGCAGTGGCCTACAGACAGTAGGTACTATAACAATATTATTGGAATCGAATCGTATTTACATAGTGTTGTTTATAAAAACCGATAAGGTATTTCCATCTAACTATTTCTGGATCTTTACTTGCATCCTTCATATATAAATTGCATAATCAGGTTTACTTCTTATTTGGTTTACAAATTCAGAATTACAGGTTACTTCAAAAGTCTCCTGAAACTTAAAAAAGCAAAACAAAGTATCTTAAGGGTAGGCTATTACTTACACATGACATTGATATCACAAATGGTCAGCAATACATCTATACAAAAGAAATCCATTGGTAAACAAAGCATAAATTGCTTGCTACTTAAGTGTCCTTCCCTACCTACAAAGGATTGAACAAGTTCTAAAACTCTTCTCTGTGTGAGGGACACAATAGTATGTGACTACTTCTTTAAAAGATGCAATGAAGGTGGCACAGTGGATAGAGAGGCAGGCCTGAAGTCAGGAAGAGAGATCAAATCCGGCCTCAGACACTAACTAGCTGTATGACCCTGGGCAAGTCACTTAACCCTGTTTGCCTCAATTTCTTCATCTGTAAAATGAGCTGGAGAAGGAAATGGCAAACCACTACAGTATCTTTGCCAAGAAAACTCCAAATGGAGTCATGAAGTTAGATGCGACTGAACAATAACATTTCTTGAAAAACAAAATAAAACAACCACACAACCACACAAATATAAAGAACAATAAAATCACATGTTCAGAATTTTCCATGAGGTTCCAGTTATTTCATTTTTTTGTTTGTTTGTTTTGTTTTGGTGAGGCAATCAGGGTTAAGTGAGTTGCCCAGAGTCACATCGCTAGTAAGTGTCAAGTGTCTGAGGTCAGATTTGAACTCAGTTCCTCCTGACTCCAAGGCTGGAGCTCTATCCACTGTGCCTCCTAGCTGCCCCTCAGTTACTTCATTCTGGCCCTTTAAGCCTGAAACCATCAGTTCACCCTGACATGTATCACTGCCTTGTGTTGAAAAAGGCAGGTAAAGTCATGAATTGACCTCTCCAATGTGGCTTGGAGCAGCAGGCTTTCTGACTTAACACTATTCTCTACCAATGGTTTGACTTCAAGGCTAGAAAAAGAAAAAGGATGTATATGCATAAAAATATTTACAGCAGCTCTTTTTGTGGTTGCAAAGAACTGGAAATTGAGGGAATGCCCATCAACTGGGGAATGGATGAACAAGTTATGGTATATGAATGTAAAGAAATACTACTGTGCTGTAAGAAACGATGAAGGGGATGGTTTCAGGAAAACCTGGTAAGACTTATATGAACTGATGCAGAGTGAAGTGAGCAGAACCAGGGCATTAATCTACAAAGTAATAGCAATATTATAAAGCTAATCAACTCTGATCAATACAATGATCTACCACAACTCCAAAGGACTCATGATGCTAAATGCTATCCTCCTCCAGATAAAGAAGTGATGGATTCAAAGTGCATAATGAAGCATATCTTCCCCTTTCCTTTATTTTTCTTGCTTTCCCCTCCCCACCGTCACTCCATAACATGGCTAATGTGGAAATATTTTGCATGATTTCATATGTATAATGAGTATAGTATTTCTTGCCTTTTCAATAGGTAGGAAGATAAAGAATTTGGAACTGAAAATAAAAATAAAATTAAAAGCCCTTAATGATCCAGCCCATCTTTCTAGACTCATTTCACATGATTCTGCCCTCACACACTCTATGTTCTAGCCAAGTTGTACTACTTGCTGTTCTTCTTACATGACATCTCATTTCCTCCAGGCTTTTGCACAGGCTATCCCCCATACCAGGAATATTCTCTCCTTGTGAGAGGACTTGGAAATACCTGTTTGATCGTAGATAAATCCCTTAACCTTTCTGGGTCTTAATTTCCTCATCTGTAAAATGCTGTGTGGATTGGAACAGATGACTTTAAATTCTCTTCTTGCTCCAAATCTATAATCCTGTGATGTACATATGGAAAACACCTTGTTGGAAGACAGCCTTAACTGCAGCATGTTGCTACTAAATCAAATGCTTTTTTTGAAA